AGCAGACATTTTGAATAAACATTAAGATGATTAAATTTTAACCACATTCTTGCCAAGTCCTAAGTAGACCCTCGGTAAGCACTAACTGAGCATATCGTGAATAATATCCTGATTCGAACCAAATTATGATTGTCATACTTGTTTTACACTTAATATGTGTCAGGCTATGTTACAGGACCTTTATAGATGCAATTCATTTATATCAAGAACACTACGAAGCAGATATGACAGTTTCTATGTAGATAAAGAATTTGAGACCAATAAAGGTAAAAACAACATGATTGGGGCCACACAACACATGAAAGGAAGGTCAGAATTCATCTTTTGGACTTTGAGATCTTGTTCTTGGCCATTATATTATGATGCATTTAATATTTATAATAAGCCCACTATTCTACTTAGCAGATGGGAAAATTGAGGCTTAGCATTCTAGACTTCATCAAAAGTTACTTTTCTATGGAATGACCCAAGAAAAAGTTAAATCAAATTCAAGGAAGCCCCTTTCCTACTTGTCACTCTTCCAATTAACATTGTGCCAACTAATTGTGGTTGAGACACAAGTGTGGAATTACTCTTCTTCACTATTTTTATTTATCTCAAAATTATTTGCTAAAGAAAAAGAAAAAAATATATAACTAATAACATTTTATGCATGTCTCATTCCTACAATAATCCAGAAAAATTGGCTCTGGTTGAAAAGTATAAAAAAGTGAGCCCTGAGTTATTTTGGGCCCATCCAGTCACCTCAATACAACTTCTCCCTGTGGACTCAGCAGCATATGGCTGTGCTTCTCACGGTTTAGGCTCCTCTGTTTATTCTGAACCTCTAGGTTACAATATGTTTTGTAATCACTAATAAGGACCACCTGTCTCTTGAGAGATTCCACCATATAAAAATAGAGACCTAATTGTTCAAATTCATTCTCAGATAGACAATACGTACTTCGTGTGTGGACCAAGATTACTGAATAGAATACCTAAATGAAAATAAATTATACTAACTGATTATAATTGCTAAATTAAAAACATATGTCCTTTATATAAAAAGAAAAAAGAGACAATAATATTTGGAACAATAAAGGCTATGCTTTGGAGGATATGAAATGCCTTAGACATTTTCCAGAGAAAAAGAATAATCTGCTGGTTTTAAAAATTTATTCAGCTTACTAAAATATATTCAGTCCAAATTTGCTGCATTCAAGTATGCTTAACCATATAGTCTCTTGTGTAAAATCATGTTTAAATTCAGCACCACCTCCTCAAAAAACAAACAAACAACAACAACAAAAACCCTGGCTTTAAAAACAAGCAGAATTCAGTTTAGTAAATACAGCCATTTACTGAAGTTAAATAATAATTTTAAATAATTTTATAATAAATACATTATACACAAAAAGTTTTATAATAAATAAATTAACACAAAATGTTAGCAAATGCTAACATTGAGAGTATAAAACCAATTGTAATTCTGGTTTAATAGAATAAGAAGAAATAATGTATATGGAAATAAATTCTCCTCTCAGTACCTCGATTTGCTCCCTACCACAATTCCCATCAGGCCACATAGGAACTTGTCCCTAGGCTTCCACTGCAAAACTATGTCCACACCTTCATCAGCACACCTTTCTCGCTACAGGAGAACTATTGGTTTGAGGGTCTGTCTCCCCTTCTAATCTGGGACTGCCCTGTGAGCAAAGACCCACAGCCTCTAGTTTCAATCCCTAGCAACTTGTACAAGCACAGAATGAATTTAACAAGCCTGTTAAAAATAGCTGCCTGTGCCTCTTGTCTGCTTGAAACGTTGTACTCTTTGATCACAGACTGGTGGCTGCAATAAATAATGCTTCATTGTGTACTTAAAATTTGCTGAAAGAATAGATTTTAAGTGTTTTCACCACACACACACACACACACACACACAAATGAATAGTATGAGAGAGGATGGATTTGTTCATTAGCCTCCTTTAAAATCATTCCACATTGTAAAAATATATCAAAATACCACATTGTACTATATATAATATTAGTCAAATAAAAATAAAATTTTAAATGTGTTTTAAGAAAGTATTGCATGGTTTAAACATAAAAACTTGAAAAATAACACACACACACACACACACATACACATAACTGCCTACGTGATAATTTCTATTCACAAAATACTATAGAAGAATAAACAATGTGTTTACATTATGTAAAGTTTACTTTTTAAGGTAAATATCAACTATCAAAGATAGGCAGAAACAACTAACTGTGGGGACAAAAGATTAGCATTTAAGTGGAAGATTCTTGGAATTTTATAAAGCAAACTCAAGTACTTCTTCTAAAAGGACCTTCACTTCCCTACTCAATGCACTTATTGTCACATCTCTCACTGATCCCATAAAATCATGAGATATGGAGTAATTGTGTGCCAGGCACTTATTATGTTATTTGTTTTAATTCTTATTATAACCATATAAGGTAGTTGCAATTACTATTTCCATTTTACTGATGATGCAACTCAGGCAAAGAAATTGGTGCCTTGCCTAAGATCTAAGCATAACTTTTAAAAACCAGTAGCTTTCCAGGCAGGTATCTGATCCATCTTCCAAGGATAGTTTGTTTGCAACAATAGTCCCCAAAATTCAATCCATGATTTATAACTCTCTCCACAGCCTCATTCACTGTTCTCTTCTGAGAGTTGCATTTTCACAGTTTCAGTGAAAGTAGCACTACGGTATAGTTACAAATGATCATAATCATGCACGAGAAATAATTCTTACAAATTGTTTTGATATATTTTATGAACGATAACATGATCGTAAACATAAAACTTTCATGCATCATTAAATGTACATAAAAGAGCAGCTTGAGATTCAATATGAAGTTTTATAATAAATACATTATACCCATATAGATGTGTGTGTGGGCACTTTGTGAATAACCATTTTAGGTGTCTTATTACTATATACTAGTGCATGTATTTCTTAAACACTGAATTTTGTTATGGGAATCCTTAATCATAAGAATGTAATAGGCAATTTTGGCTTTAATAAAAGTCAGAGAAATGTAGCTTCCCTCTTTAATCCCTTGTCAAATTTTGTCATGTTGAATAATTTTACTTCACATAAATCTACTTCCAAATGAACATTTGACAAAAAGTTAATAATTTTCATGTAATTAACAACTTATGGAATTTTCTATGCATGTTTCAGTAAATCAATTTGGATTCAGAACAATGTATGTTTCATGAAGCACTTACATGCAGTAAATTGTAGACACATTGTCTTACATACTGCAATAGTTGGAAACATGAGCTGTCTCTGCATGGCTGAATGCAGAGCTATGATAATTATCAAGAAATCATTTCAAAGAAACTATAAATCATACTATAGTTTTATTTTTTTCTCATTATCTACTTCTTTGCTGAGAATACCATGACAGATGCTGCCAAAACGTATTACTTCAGGAGACATATTTGGACCTACAGAAATAGAAATTTGTAAAATACTAACTGATGTCTTTTGAATGGGTTCAAACACAAGAAAGCCTATGCACCTCCCAACAGGATTGCCATAGCTTAGAGAATCAAGAAGGGGAGACACTTTTCATTAGAAGAAAGGGTGAATTATTTATACATTTGAACAACAGAACAATGGAAGATGTTCCTAGTTTAGTAGAAGCATTTTAAAAGCATCTTAATATCTACAGAGGAAGCATTGCTGCTGTTGTAGTGATTCCTTGGCCACTTAAATGTCTCAAAACAGTCCTATGTTTCTGAGGAAAAGAGGCTGTATGAATGAGTTCCCATTCTTAACCAACACCTCTGGGCACACTCTCTATACCCAAAGAAGCCACATGCCCTGATATAGCAAGAGCTGTTAAAATGTGAAATAACTCTTAACCCATTGGTAAACAGATGCTGCTCCAATATTTCCCTCTACCTTAAACCTTCCCTACCCTGCCATGCCCAATCCAGTGCTCTGCTCCCTGCGATTTCCGGAGCCTCCCTTATCCATAAAGTTCTTTATCCAGAGCACTTTAGAATTGGTTGGTACAAGTACCTGATGGTTCTTGCCCAAGTCCCTAAAGATAAATGCCTCTAGGAGTACTTTTGGGCTGCCCACTAGCCAGGCACACCTGCTAAAACTCCTCTCTTCTGCCATCCACTTATGTCATCCTCACTGGGTCCCTGCCAGACACCTGCAGAAAGATCTGTAGCCTCAGGAGGAGCATGGTTCTCTAGCACGCAAATGTCCAGCTACCTTTCACAACACCCAAAGGCCCTGGAATCCTGCTTAGGAAGCTTAGGCCAGGGTTCTCCAAGTTATCCTCATATGGCTACTTACAAAGCTATAAAATCCGTGGTGCTTGGACTGAGATGTCTAAGGTACACAAAGGTACCAGGCAGCAGTAAGGGATGCATGATAATCTGAAGATCACCCTGCACACATCAGTTTCCCCTAGTGTTGTAACTCAAAAAGGTAATATAAATATTGAGTATGATTTACTTCCATCCATCAGGTATAGCCATTAGGTAGGTGTCACCTTATGATGTGGCAAAGGTAATGTACACATTTGTTAAAGTCCAGACTTGACAAATTCACTACACATTTTGCCACTCCCACCCCATCTCTCTCTCTCTCTCTCTCTCTCTCT